GACAGTGCCCCCCCCACCCCCCCAATACCCCCCCGACCACTGATGGGGCAACTACAGGAAGAGTGGATGAATAGATGGAAATAAAGAGAGAGGCACAGACGGGGGGAGGACGGGGGGGCAGACCACTGGGTCACTGGTCTCTGTACTGATAACAAATCAACAGGATGGGGGGGGGGGGCGCTTTAGGACAGTAAAGGAATGATTACTGCCCAGGAGTCACGGCCCAGAAGTGGACCCTGAGCCAGGAGTTTGAAGAATGTCCAGGCCAACAATGAGTTAACGGCAGCAGTGACGTCGTCCTACGGTGATGTCACTGATGCTCCGCGGACACAGCGCCACCTCTGGTCACTGCACAAAGACGCACTCTGCTGCGGTGTGGACCTGACTCGGTGGGTCTGGGGTGGGCTGTTCCGCGGACCGGCCAATCACAGCCTGGGCAGACAGAGCGATATTTGGACGTCACCGTGTCCAAGGTCGTGTTGGTTTTTATCTCTGACAGTTTTGGGACGGTCCCTAACGTGGAACTGTTGTGTTTCAACACCGTTGTTGCTCAAATACTGGTTCTTACTGACACTGGAACTTTGATCTGTTTACTGCAGTACTCCAGAAGTACAGAGGGGAAAAAACATCGCTGTGTTGACATCGTACACAAGAGGTCGCCAGGGTCAACGCTGACGTGGGCCGCGGGGCCATCGGCCCCCGTAAGGACCTTGTAGTTGTATGAATCAAGATGGCCGCCGCACAGCCAGCACTCAGTCACATATGAATTCACATGCACGTCCATCGGCGGTCCACGACCCAGATGTTTTCTCTAATAAAAATGTCCTGGACTAAAGGTCTAAAAAGTACCCGTGTCTGTCAGTACTGCAGTACTGTAACAATGACAGCAGTATTAGGACTCTGACCACGGCCGGCCTCCACTTGACCTGCGGTCCAGGATGTGGACTCTGGGGAGTGGGCCGCCGCTCCAAGAATTTCACAGGTCGGAGGAGGCAGATATTTTTGTCCCATGCTCCTTTGCAGTATCAACTTTCTGAGCTCAGTTTTCGAGTAGGTGACCACCGCAAAATATGAAGTTACACGTGGTCGTTACCGTTGGTACGGACGTGTCAAAATCCCGTTTGTCTCTCAGACGGCGTCCTCTGAAGACGGAGGGGACACAGTGTTGACCGGGACGAGTTGTCTGTTTGTCCAGAGGAGTCACTGTTTCACACCCTGTGTCTGAGGGTCGCGCTAACAACAGGCTAAGGTAAACAACTTAACAACACCCCCCCAGCCCCCCAGCCCCCCCCGGTGGCCGTGACCAGAACATATGGAGGTGACTTTTCACCAAAGTCAAACAAAAACACCTCAGTGTCAGTCGTCGCTCTGACGTGAACCACGTTGACTCAAAACTGTACCAGAGCAGAAGTAGAACTTTTATGGTAAATACGTGTTGGTGTCGGTACTTCAGTACAACTCCTGGCTCTGACCCGTGGAACCGATGGGTTCTCCTGGGTTTCAGTTTTCCTCCCGGCCGTTGGTTCCGCTCTGCTCTGTGTTTATTTTGGGCTGAATTCAGATCAACGGCTGCTTTGTTTGTTTGTCAGTCGTTATGTAACGTCCGTGAAAAGATATGACACGTATGAGTCATGAGTCCAGGCGCCGGCGCTCCGACCTGGAAACAGTTCTAGTCCCTGCAGAAGAAAACAGCTGCAGACGTTCCTTCAGCGACGCTGGACCAGAACTGTCTAGAACTGTCTAGAACCCGAGGCACGGCGACAGGCCACCACAGACTGCTGTTGACTCCCTGACAAAGACGCTGCGTCACCGTCCTGTTCCTGGTCACATGACCGGCCCCTCGTCAGTTGTTGATGTGTTTTCCAGCCTCTGTCCTGAACAGTAGAGACGAGGGGCGAGTTTCACAGTGAGGTGAGGGAGAGGGTGAGGGAGAGGTCGGAGGGTGAGGGGGACGAGGGACGGGGGGGGGGAGAAATAACTCCAAAAATGTTTATTTAACAATTAGCTAAAAAAAGTAACGCTCTTCTGTGACCTTTGACCTTTTAAAGTAGCTCTAGAAAAACCTTGGCAACTTTTTTCTCTCTGACAATCAGAGGTCAGGAACACTCGAACCCCCAACAGCCTCAGAGCCAATCAGAGGTCAGGAACACTCGAACCCCCAACAGCCTCAGAGCCAATCAGAGGTCAGGAACCGTGACTACACCGCCAACAGGTGTTCACCCACCGGCTACAGTCGGACACACATTTGAACACGGTATTAACTTTACACCTACAGTCGGACGGTTGTGGTTGTAGTGGAGGTGTAGCAGCTCTGACCGTGGTACTACAGACCCCGCCCTCCCTGAGACACAGACTCACAGACACAGACTCACAGACTCACAGACACAGACACAGACTCACAGACACACAGACATAGACACAGACACAGACACTCAGACACAGACCCACAGACTCACAGACACACAGACACAGACACAGACACACAGACTCACAGACTCACAGACACACAGACATAGACACAGACACTCAGACACAGACTCACAGACTCACAGACTCACAGACACAGACACAGACTTACAGACACACAGACATAGACACAGACACTCAGACACAGACCCACAGACTCACAGACACACAGACACAGACTCGCAGACACAGACTCACAGACACAGACACAGACCCACAGACACAGACTCACAGACAGGGAGACGACAAAGGAAGTCAGGACGACCTGGACCACAGACAGGAAACTGTGATCTGATCCTCGAAGCTTCCATGAACGACAGACATTAAACGCAACACCATCATCTCA